TCCATGGTTCATGCTTTGTTGATGAAACACTACCTACTACACAAACCTTGACATTCAGTCAGAAAAGACACAAAAGCAACAATGACACCAGTCATCCTTAAAAAGACAAGAACAACAATATAAAATAATGAACGAGTGCTGTACTTCTTTACAGGTGTGGTTCAATAAACAACAGGGAAAAAAAGTAGGAACAAGTTAGGCAAACAGACCAACTGGTTCATGTTGCGTAGCACTATGAAAGATATTTTGAATATGTGAATATGCAACAATCACAAAACAACAATCTGCTTAGTGTACAAATCTTTCACTTGCATTTGCAAACTCTTTGGCCAAGAATGTCCTTAAATTAATCTGTATATACAGAGCAATAATAATGTTCTGTTTTCAGAATTCCCATTATTTCTGTTCCTCCAAATGATCACAAAAGAAAGTGGAAAAAAATATATGACTTTTACATGTAGAAACTCTATTTTCATGCATGTAAGAGATAGAGCTTTAAAATACTTCTTACCTCTGTGCCAGAGCAGCATCAAAATATAAGTATAGGACAAATATATTTAACATAAAGAATCTCTGACTGATAGTGATGGGCATTCTGGCTCTTTTTAGAGAACCGGCTTTTTCGGCTCGGCTCACTATAAGGAGCCAACTCTTTCAGCTCCGAATCGGCTCTTCAGGTTGTTTTGTTGCTTTAATTAATTTATTATCAACAACAATATAAAATTATGCACAAAATGACTTACTAAACGTTTAAAAAACGTGTTTTTATTTATATATGTTTATTATATAAATATGCTTTTATTTATTCACTCAACCTCACACATAAATACAAAAAACAACTATTTACAATTCAACTTTTTGAAATTTAAATTTAAAACTATAAAACTCAAATTTAAATTTTAAACTTTTTTCCTTTTAAACAAATTTAAAGTGAAACAACACAAAACACTGCAAACCACAATGATAAAATATAAATTAACATATGCAAAACAAAAAGAAAAAAATGAACACCCAGATCTTTAATCAAGGTAAAGGTTGGCATTTAGAAAGTGCCTCAGCTTTGAGGAGCTGATCCGGTTTCTTCTGTCAGTAATTATCTGCCCTGTTTTGGAGAAGATTCTCTCAGAGGGAACTGATGTTGCCACAATGCACAGTGTCATCACCTGGGTAAGACCTGGATAAATTGAAGCCTTGGTCTCCCACCAGCTCAGTGGGTCTGCACTTCTCTGGCAAAGGGGCTCATCAATGTAGGATCTCACTTCCAGTATTGCGTCTGCTGAGGGATTCCTTCTGGTAGTCTCTACTTGCTCGTTCTTCAAAGAACTTCAAAACAGCAGATACTTGTTGCTTCTTTTGTTCACCTTCTTCTGCCTCTTCTTCCTCTTGGTCCCCTGGCAGTGGAGTTGGTTGGCTGGATCTTGCTGCTGCTGCAGTTATCCTCTGAAGAGCTTCATCCACTGCTCTGTTGTCATTAAAGACCAGCTTCTTGAATCTTGGATCAAGAATGGTGGTTTCAGAGAGAACAGTGTTATATTCCATTCTGAGGAACTTTCTGTCCATGGATGCACAGAGAGCATCAACCAACTCTTTCCTTTTTCCTGTAGTTGCTCTGGTTTGGTGCTCAGCTGTCACTCTCTGCAGACCCTTGCACAGGATTAACATTTTGGAGGCTGTGACATGGCTGAAAAAGAGTAAACAACAAGTATCAAAATTATGTTTTTTTTTAATTCAGCAGTGTATTTTTATTTATGATCATGTCTAATCTGCTTTTCATACCAGTAATGCAACAAGAACAAGAAGAACTACTACTACTACTACTACTACTACTACTACTACTACTAATAATAATAATAATGCAATAACATTTGCACACTCACCTGTCTGCACTGATCTCTACAGTGACCTGCTCAAATGGCTCCAGAACAGTGCATGCCTCCTGTAGTACCTCCCATTCCTCTTGGCTCAGATGGTTGACTGGTGCATCTCCTTGACTTTGTCCACAGCTGGCTTCATCACCTTCAAAGCATCTCTTACAATCAGGTTAATTGTGTGTGCAAGACATGGGGGTGGGGTCCATTTCAAGATTTTAATTGCTTTTGTTATGTTAGCTGCATTGTCAGTAACACAGCAAACCACTTTGTTTTCCACATCCCACTCTTTTGCCACTTTGAGCAGCTCTTCTGCTAAGTTCTCAGAAGTGTGTTTGTCGCTGAACTCAAAACAATCAAGAAGACAGGACACCATTTTATAATTTTCAATAAAGTGACACGTTACTGACAAGAAGGATGTGGTGGTTTGGGATGTCCAGCTGTCAGTTGTTAGACAGACGGCTGTGGCTTTCTTAACCCTCTCTTGCAGTGATGCACGTTGTCTGTCATATAGGCCTGGGATTATTTTTTGGGAGAGTGTTTTCCTGCTTGGAATTGAATAGATTGGATTCAGTGTATGAATAACATTCCTAAACGTGGTTGGAAGTCAATTGCAATCATTTTTGCCAGTTCTTCATCAATTAAGTTCTGTCTTGTGTGCTTTTCTTGCAGACTCGACACTCTGCCTTTGTATTATCAATACAGTTGAAATGGTTCTTAGATTTTACTTCTTTTCCTGGTGTCACTCATTTTCTTTACTGAACCTTGTGTCGATGTTGTCTCGTCTTGTTACTCCTGGCTCTCGTTCTCTCTCTCCCTCCTAGTGATGTGTCGTTCGCGAGTGATTCGTTCAAAATGAACGAATCTTTCATGACAGTTCTCAGGTGCCTGTGCAGGTTGTTTGTGGAGCCAGCTTCATTTATATTACATTCACCTGAAAATATTATATCTTCGCATTGCACTAATGGATGCCTGTGCAGGTTGTTTGTGGAGCCAGCTCGATATATTTTTTTTTTGCAGACTCGACACTCTGCCTTTGTATTATCAATACAGTTGAAATGGTTCCAGATTTTACTTCTTTTCCTGGTGTCACTCATTTTCTTTACTGAACTTTGTGTCGATGTTGTCTCGTCTTGTTACTCCTGGCTCTCGTTCTCTCTCTCCCTACTGTTCTGAGCGTGTGCTGCGGCTGCGGCTGCTGCTAGTCTAACTACCGCCCCTCCCCCCTCTGCTCAGCGCAAACACGAGGCACAAACACATATTAATCAATCACGTGCGGCTTGAAGAGAAAAAAAAGTGTGAGAGAGAGAGAGCGAGAGACGGCTCTTAAACACGGCTCCCAATGAGGAGACGGCCCCCGTCGTTCACTTCAAAGAGCCGGCTCTAAGAGCCGTTTCATTCGCGACCGACACATCACTAGTAGGCTGGGTACAGGAACAGAGAGATGTGGTCTGAGCGTCCAAAGTAGGGGCGGCTCTGTATGCACCTTTGATGTTGGTGTACACATGATAGATAACCTCGTTACCCCCTGTACACTGTACGGAAAAAGACGTCCGACGAAATGTGAAATCGGGCCGAGCGTCGCCAGGTCGTGCGTCTCAAAAATCGGGTCAAAAACGGGCTAAAATCGTACAGTGTATGCCCGGCCTTACGAATATTCAACTGTCCTGATCAGATTTCCCATGTTCTACTGAGCTGAATTTATTGACAATGATCTTAAACTATCAAATATTAATTGTCCTCAAATTTCCCTTAAAAGGTGAAAAAAAGAGAATATTTTAGGACTGCAGGTGACCCTCTGGCCCAGTTCTGTTTGTCAATCTTCACTCATATGCTTTCTTATTTACAAAGTTACGGGGGCTTTTCCCCCTAACAAATGACACGTTTTTTTTCTAGTGATAAACAGCCATTATTTATTTATTTCTTCATTGATTTTGAGTGTCTTTTTATTGAAATGAAAAAAAGGAATAGAATACCAGAACTACTGCATTAAAGTGTGAGGGAGTCAGGGGGTGTGTTTACTGTTGTGACACATATATTTACAAACACACAAACATTCAGTAATCACAATTTTAGACTGCAAATCACATGAGTCCACCACAGGTCACATGACCTTACCTTTGATCAGATAACCTGGCGCAGGCTCACAAACTAAAATTATATTAACGTGATCATAATGCCAATAAGTGATTTTGACCATCAGCTGGTCTGAATGACTCAACAAAAACATTGACCATCTGTTAAAAACATTTCATTTGCATAAACATTTTTTAACTTGGACTTTGATCTAAAACGAATGTGCAAACCTTAATGAGATGGACATAATGAGATGAAGAGGAAAAGAAAAAATATGAAGATAAAAAAGTAATAAAGGGAGACAAAAACTGAGAAAAATACAATAAAAAGCAGGTGAAAAGTTTAACAGGGAAACGTCTGGACAGTTTAATGTTCCTTTCGGTTTAAAATATGACAGCCATTAAAGCAGGAGTAGAAACATTTGACGGTTTTACAAACTGACCCTCAAGCATGACATTGATCTGAACGCTGAAAAACAGCAGCAGCTTCAGATCGTAGGTGTTACAAGTGTCTCCCTCTAGTGTACAGATTGTTCGTCGCATGTTTAAAAATGAATAATCTGTTTAAAAAATAAATGAGAACTCTAAAAGGACACTGATACTCAGAGTCGACTGGTTGTCATTGATGGTAATAGAGACATAGCTTTACACTTTAATCCTCTGTTTTTTCCTTTAAAATAACACTAAAAATGTTGAATGTATTTACAAAAAAAAACAAAAAACAAAACAAAACAAAACAAAAAAAAGCCGATGGTTCTCGTGAAGCCTTTTAGGCGAGAAAAATCTGCAGCTGCAGCCTAAAGACAGGACCACTGTGTACAGGTTGGGAAAGTGGGGCTCAGAGTTCAGACATTAAAAATAGTTAAAAGTTAATCAGATTAAGGAAGGTTACTGTGCAGCTGTGTCCGCAGTTACTTTTTATATTAGATCCATCCATCCATCCATCTTCATCCGCTTATCCGTTACCGGGTCGCGGGGGCAGCAGTCTCCACCCAAATCACATTGCACCATACCAACCCCCCCAAACCTTCCTGCAGGTGGTGAGTCCACTGGAAGGTACCAACCGCCCTAACCGGGATTCGAACTTGCCCAGGAGGTGAACCCTGGGGTTCCACACCAATGACAGAGTCATTGCCTCTGGGCCAAAGCGCCACCTTTTTATATTAGAACATTTCTTAAAATGTTCAGGCTGCAGTACCTTTGCTGACCAGAAAAATTGACCTTATGTTGTGAAATAGTTCAATACAACTTTTGGCTTATGAGTAACAGTTTACTTCAATCAAATTTAGACCCAAATCTTTAGCTAAGCTATCTTTAATTTGCAACATGGTGGCTTTTAAAAGAGGTGAGAGGGTGAGTCACTGAGATGGAAGGGTGAGAGCTGAGATTTTTTTCTTTGTCAACATCTTAGTGGTACTGCTAAAGTTGTTTATAAAGTTAACATTTTTTTAATGATGATGACAAGTCTCTTTTTCTGCTGCTGACACTGTTACACATACATGCACACACACACACATTTTAACTGTTTAAAAATGTTTAAAAAAAGCAGCAACAACAAAATGACATCATTGTTTGGCAAAATAATTCAAATCCTAACAAGGAAAAAACAAACCCTCTTATTCTTCCTCCTTGATGCACATTTCTGGCCAGTCTTTAGCGTTAAGTGGTGAGTGTCGGCGCTCCTTGTTCCTCTATTCTCTGTTATAGTTGTGATATACTCTTTATGACCTTGTTTGTTAAAAAGGTCAAGTTGCCTATTTACAATATAAACAACTTGTTCCAGTGACAGTGGAGTTTGTGGAGTCAACACACAGCTGCAGCTGGCTGAAGGGTAACAACATCACACGTCACGTGATAAGTTTTATAAGCAGGAGCATGAGAGGAAGTAGTGCAGCTATGAATTCAGTCGATGTAGTTGAAGCTTCCATACGGTTGAAGAAGCATTTGATTAAACCAAACATTCCTCAGAAGTATTTTGTTTTCTGTGTTCTGTGAAGGTGAAGCTTCTGCAGCTTTGGTGAGTGAAGTCTCAGTGGTTTGTACTGTAGGGTATTTTGCAGCCAAGTCTTCAGTCCCCCCCTCCTCCTCCCACTCCTCCTCCTCCTCCTCCTCCACGCTTATGCTGCAGGTTGTAAAAACAGTTCTGACAAACTCTGACTGGAGATGAGATCTTTAACCTCCTGATCTCTGACTGGAAACGGCTGCACCTGAAAACAGCCAAGAAGATGACCCTCAGAAAGGAGCAGCAGACCATGCAAGCACAGCTCACACACTTTTAAGAAATATCACCAAAAAATACAAGTTAAAGTGAATGGGGCCCAACACAGTAACACTGATCAGCTGGAAGATGAGTCATCTCCCATGATGCAATCGTCTGTGACAAAGTTTTGAACCTGCACTGAAACTGAACTAACATCTTACACTGTCTTCATCAGGTCTAGCTCTCAGGATTTAAATTTTTGAATTCATCACAACATTGGCCAAGAAACTATGACTCCTACTGATGCCTTTCAAAAACACAGTTTTCTTTTCCTGATAGGATTTGACTAACTGTGATGGGAGATTACAGGACTGTGAAGTTCTGACCTTTGGCAGAAGAGCTGACTGCAGTTTCTGCAGTGATGCCGTCTCTCTGTGAGTGAGAACCTAACACTGCAGCTGGAACAGTTGTCAACCTGCTCGTCCTTCACCCAGTGATCGGCTGCAGAACGACCAGGCTGCTCACTCACAGACCAGCTGAAGACCCGACCGCGGCCATCACCCACCAGAATCTTACTGTGGTCCCTGATCAACGAGGAAGAGGACACACAGACGCAACAGTTAAAAAGTGTTAACTGTAATTTAGTTCAGAGACACATCAAAATAACTTTGTAATCTAGAATATAATCGACTGAGGCTGAGCAGTGTGAAGGTTCCATTCTTAATTAAATCAAATTAAAAAAAAAAAGTCTTGTACTTGGAGATGGCGAGCGCAGTGATTTCAGCTGGCTGGAGATTGTCTTTATGATCAAACGCTGTGTGCATGGTGAGTTTACTGCGGAAAACCAACTGACGTTCCCACCGATGACCTGGACACAGACAAACCAACAGGGAACAGTGGTAAACGTGCTGCTGTCAAGTAAGAACCAGATTTTACAAACAACCGTCCCTCTGACCCACCTGCCCTTAGCTGGTTGAATGTTCGAGTATCAGCAGAGGTTGTCACTGATGTTGTTGTCAATGGGTGTGCGGGGACGTGTCCTGGGTGAGCCATGTGACTTCTGCTCAGACCCTCTGAGTAGTTAACAAAGACAAAGCCATCCTTCTCATCAATGCTGAGTGTGTCCGACCAGCGGTGTGAGTCGTCCGAGCCACTGTCCATCGACCAGGAAGCTGCTGCTCGACCAGATGGCCCTGAGGGAAGAAAAGGGGTTGGGGAGGGCAGAAAAAGGAGAAGCAGTGAAACCTGAGGGTAATAAGATGAAAGAGCAGGATATTAATATTATACAAACACCTAAATTGAGTAACCAATGTGAATTAGCCATTCACCACCATCAGTACAGTCTGTTTCAACCTGGACGTGATATGCAATACAAAACCCAGGACACACCTGTATTTACATACAGCCCTCAATCCTGACAACTAAGGCCATAAGTCTGACTTACTTACACTTATTTTGTTTGAAGTGTCAGTATGTGTTTCTAAAGACCTGCAGATCGTTTTGTGCTGATGAATGATTTGCCAATAACAAGATCTTATCGCCAGTCGGCTTCCTTTGAGTTTTTTTGCCTTAACTGGAACATTTCAGATGAAAAGTCGAAGAAGAAACCTGGAAAACAGTGAACGCTTTCAATACCTAAAAGTGAACCAAAAATCTCAGGAGGGTCACCCCTTATATTTAAACCAGGGATGGACCAATCTGATATCAACATTTGATATCTGTTCTGATATTGACTCAAAAGCTAAAGCTTGTATTAGATAATGGGGCTGATCCATTTACTAGGTATTAGCATTGGGTTCTGGACTGAAAAACTCCCTAATTTAAACACAACCAAATAAACTCAAGCTGAATGAGTTAGCTATACAGAGCTCCATGTTTACAGAAAGGCTTAACCCTGAAAAAGGCTAGTAGGTAGCCAGAAAATAGCTAGAGTTATTTAGTTGTTTAAAGTACTGTATAAACTTTTAATATTCTCTGATGTGTAATGTCACCTCTGGGCCTGTGGGTGGCGCTGTCTGGCTGACTTCCTGCACCTGTTGAAGGGTTTCCTGTTTCTTTGGTCTCCTGACTCAGACTGGGTTTGTCTACATCAGACTCACTGCTGTCATCGTCTCCGTTATGACTCTCACCACCTTCTGTGGCAACACACAAAAATGGAAATATGATTAAAGTTTATTTTGTTTGGTTTTTGCCACTGAAATGTCTGCACCCTTTGTTTTAAACCCACCAATCTTTTCCTTGCCACAGCACTCAGAAATGTCAGGTTCAACAGGGTGTGGCGCTGGAGTTTCTGGGACCTGAAGAAACTCCATCCTCCAAAACTACCATAAAGTTAAAAAAAACAACAAAGTGAACTGTTAGTCTACTTTGAATAAATGATGATTTATTTTATCATACTTACCCTGACAATGCCGTCAGAGTGACCTGTGACGATGACATTCTGTGTGTCCCACTCATTCATCTCTGACGCACACACGCAGAGGATCAACTGACTGCGACCTGTGAATGTGTTAGCACTGGCAATCGGACTACCGTTTATGCTCCACACGTGAATGTAGGTGCCTGCACATGACACAATGTCGCCCTGGTGACATGAACAAAATAATATACCCATGTAAGCAAGTTATGACAAATGTCACCATGTTTACAAAAATACCCTGTCAAAAATGGGTCAAATTTAGCTAAAAGTAAGTCAAAAGAGTCATTACAGTTAACAAGCTAAAGCTTGTGAGTAAATGTAGTCTTTGAAACAGCGCTAGGATAGACAACAAGATAGATGTGGTAAATGACTTAGTCTTAAATTACAGGAAGCGATGTCATCACCTACCGTCAGTTCATTGATGCACAAAGCCGAGACATGTGCTCGGTGACCTCTCAGCTGTGTGATGAAGGAGAGTTTGTTTAGGTCCCAGATGATACAGGTTCGATCCCGTGACCCACTGACCACAATGTGGTACGCTGAGGACGCGGTCAAACATGTAACGGCATCTGTGTGTCCTAGCAATGCCTGCAAACCCAAAAAACAATATTCACTTCATCAGGTGATTCCTGATTGTCAGGAGAGGGCCATGTTTGATGAAGTGAACATGCAATGAGGGCCAACTATTCTGCCGAACACTGTTTGATTAAAAAATATGAACTATTTTAAGGATATTTTATTACGAATGGCATTTTAAAAAATGTCATCACACAATTCAGACAAATCTAAACAGTTCTTACCAAAATCATTCTGCCTTTCATATCCGAAAGTAAAATCTTTCTGAGAATCTCTGGCACAACAGATAGATAGAACTTTAATAATCCCTTGGGAGTTTCCTTCAGGAAATTAAGGCTCCAGCAGCAGTACGGCACCAAAGACAACAGTAAGAACACACAGATAAGTAAAGTACAATAAATACAACAAAATACAAATACAAAAAGAGTAGCACACTGCTGAGAAACCTGAACAGTGGATGTTAGTAGATTAGTAGGTTAGTAGTAGTAGACAGATGGGTTAGTGTTAGTAGTGTTAGTAGATTAGTTTGTCATTATTGTTGCTTTGTGTGGTGTTGTAGATTGTGGTCTCAATTATTATTTTTTATTATATTTTTATTATATCATTGTTATTACTAAACTAAATTAGTGTTACATATATATGTATGTATACATATATACTTATATTTATGCATATTTATATTTATACTTATATTTATCACTAGGGGTTACTATTCATTATATACTGTATGTCCTATTATATGGGATAGATACTAGTAATATATTTATTTATACATAGTATATTAGTTATGCACATACATATATACACCCACATCAACACATATATATTATATATATACACATACAAAAACATACACAGAATATAAAATGGAGATATAATGGTACATTGAAATATAGTAATAATAATAATATAATAGTAATGTAAATGAGATTTTGGTTATTGCACTGAATTATTGCAGGGTTATTGCACGTACTGCTTTACCCACCAGTCATTTGTTCATCCTCCTCCCACCCAGTGAGGAGTTAAACAGTTTAATTGCACGGTGGACAAAGTTTTTTTAGTCTGTTGGTCCTGCTGTTCGGAAGGAGGAGCCTGTCACTGAACAGACTCCTCTGATTACTGATGACAGTGTGCAGAGGATGAGGATTGCATTGTCCAAGATGGCGAGCGGTTAGCCAAGTGTACTCTTCTCTGCCACTGTCACCAGAGGGTCCAGGTTGATGCCCACCACAGAACTAGACTTCCTGATAAGCTTCTCCAATCTGTGCAAGTCCTTCTTTGATGTGCTGCTCCTCCAGCACACCACAGTGTACGACATAAGACTGGCAACTACAGACTGGTAAAACATTTTCAGGAGCTTCCTGTTGTCCAACCACAGTCCAAGATATTTATAGGTCTCCACGACCTCCACCTCCTGACCCTCAATAAGAACTGGTCGGAGTTTTTGTTTGGATTTCCCAAAGTCTATGACCAGATCCTTGGTCTTGGGGGCGTTGAGCTGCAGGTGATTGGATTTGCTCCATCCAACAAAGTTCCTCACGAGGTGCCTGTACTCCTCCTCATTGTTGTCCTTAATACAGCGCACGATGGCTGTGTCATCTGCAAACTTCCGAATGTGAAACAGCTCAGAGTAGTACCAGAAGTCAGAGGTGCATAGGGTGAGGAGAGGGGACAGCACCGCCCCCTGCGGTGCTCCGATGCTCCATTCAGCCTGACATACTGCGGTCTATCCGTGAGGTTGCTGGGAATCCAGGCAACAATACAGGGGTCCACTTGCATTCGCGTCAGTTTATCCTGGAGTGCAAGTGGCTGGATGGTGTTGAAGGCACTAGAAAAATCAAAGAAGAGGATTCTCGGGGTCACGTGATGTGCTCTACGTGAGTGGACTTACTTCGCCATCCTCCGGCTCTTCATGCCGACTTTATTATATTTGCACGACATAAATAAACAAAACACAGCCTATGCAAGCGACTAGCACAGTTAGCGGCACATCCAACATGGAGGAAAACACAGCGGCAATTATGGCCGAGACTGTAATCGTGAGGTAGTGAATAAAATAAACGAGTCGTGAACGAATCTTAAACGAAGAAAGGCGCGGTTCTCCGAATCTAAATACTGAAGGCAATATGGTTTGCTTAGTACACAAAATGCCATAAGCAATTAAAACCATGTGAAAACATAAGAAAGAAAAACATACCACAATGTGAAGATGAATGAGAGCAAAAGAGATCCGAGCTCTCTGTCACGTGACAAATGAAAGAAATCTGCAAGAACGAAGCGAAAGATTAGTTCACAGTGAGTGATTCGTTCATAGTGATTAGTTCACAGCGAAAGATTAGTTCACAGAGAGTGATTCGTTCGCAGCGACACATTAGTTCACAGTAGTGATGGGAAGACCGACTCTTTTTATTGATTCGAATCTTTGACTCTCGAACAGTAAAATGAACGAGTCGTTAACGAATCTTGAACTAATCATTTCATTCGTTTTACAGCAGGTGGCGCTTTAGCCCTATTGTGGGCGTTGTAAAGAAGGCTGCGGTTCTCCGACACTAAATAAGGCAACATGGTTTGCTTCCGCTGACAAAGTCTACAAAGTACACAAAATGCCATAAGTAATTAAAACCATGTGAAAAGCTAAGAAATAAAAACACACCACAATGTGAAGATGAATGAGCGCAAAAAAGACCCGAGCTCTTTCACGTGACAAATGAAACGAATCTGCGAGAACGAGGCGAAAGATTAGTTCACAGAGAATGATCCGTTTAGAGTGATTAGTTCACAGCAAAAGATTAGTTCACGGCGAAAGATTAGTTCAC